GAGACTGTGACAACAGATAGACATATGGCAGTTCAGGACCCACAAACACAAAATATTCCCAGCATGCAATAGTAATTCCTCCCCTCTGCCCTGGAGATAATTGAGAAGTAATTCAATTATCTCCAGGACAGAGGCAAATCGCCATTTTAAATTCAACACATAAAAACACATAAAAATAGATAACTTTACATTTGTCGAATGCTACCCATTCGTATCACATATCCCCAGATAGCCTGGATCTGAGTGCATATTATTGGCGAATAGCGCTCAGATCCCATACCCATAGTTCAATCGCCATGGAGTCAAAGTCTATTACAGTTCTTCGGTATGCGATTGACTCCATGAGAAGGCTATCTGGGGTAAGTCCATTCGTGCCTTTAAACCTCCCGAACGGCCGGTGTTCGCACACTCCTGTCGATTGAGAAGGGAGGTCGACGGCTTCAGTGGTGTTCAGTTGAAAAGGTGTCCGTTTTCAGTTCCATGAAATCATTGCCGAACACCGCTGGTCTTTCGCATGGTTTTAAAATGGCCGCTGCCTCGTGGTCGACATACGAACGACGACCACCCTGTATTCGGTTTTAATTGAGAAGTGTCTGTGGTTAACCGCAACGTTCTAATTGGGATCAATAGGTTAACCAGCAGCACACTTCTCTTCTGGGTGGCCGTCCGTTCGACAGTTTTGTTCGGCAGAAAAGTCAATTCACTTGAACAAAGGCATACGAACGGGTAATTTTGTGAAAAAGGGAAAACAGATGAATCCAGCAATCTTAGTATATACAGATGGATCTGTCACACTTCACTTACAGTAAATGATCATACATTGCATAAGCTTGCCACAATGTCAATGTGCCCCATTCTTGGCAGGTCCTACTCTAGCAACCTAATGTCAGCTCTTGGTTTTATATATATATATATATATATATATATATATGTAACGGCACCCCCAAGCATAAAAGGGGTTAAACGCAGTTTAGAGGATATTCCCCTTCCAGATATACAGGCAGCTACTGTAGACACCAATCCACCGAACCGGAGAAGCATAGGAATGCCGTAAACAGCTGAACCGGAACCACATGAATGCTGTAAACAGCCGAATAGGAAAAACCATACAAATAGGTTTACACTCCTAGCAGTCAAACTGGAACAGCATACAGTAAATCCCCCCAAGAACGAGACAAAGCTCCGTGTTGAGGGTCAAGCAGTGAACAGACAGAGCTGTGGGTTTATTGTCCTTATATACACATTAGTACCACCCACAGGGTTTTGGAAAACAACCAATAAACACGTACAATATGCTCAGACACTCCCACACAAAATCCTCCCCTCTGCCTGTGATACAATTACCTTACACAATGGGTAATGTAATTATCACAACCAGAGAAACAGTTTTTCCACATTATTCATAACTTTAAAAGTATGCATCACATTCACATTAAAAACTTACATTTTCAGAATCAGCATACTCCAAATACAAACATACGTCAAAATCATACAAGTTGGTCCAGTGGTTCAAAAGATAGATCGCAGTCCTTTGTGACCAAATGAAGCATGGCTTTTCTGACCAAAACCAGTTCCAAAGAGTCTTCTATCCTGGAGATAATTGGGAAGTAATCCAATTATCTCCAAGGACAGAGGCAAAACTCCATTAAGCACATGGCAGTAAAAAGACAGTAAAATACAATAAAATACACACGGTTACATTTATGACATAAAATACAGACATGCAACATATCCCCAGATAGCTTAGGTCTGAGCGCACATTAATACTGAATGGCGCTCAGACCACACACACATACAGTTCAATCGCCATGGAGCCAAAGTCTTTCCCATAGTCTTTCATTATACGAATGGGCTCCATGGCATAGCTATCTGGGGTATCACTGCTCAAACAGGGCAAGCAACGAATGACCCGGCTTTCATGTCTTTGCAGGGGAAAATCAAGCGTTTCAACATGGGGCCATAGTCTAAAGGCAGCGGGCGGGCAACCAGGCTCCTCCAATGCACAGTGGCGAGATTGGTCTCGTCACAATATATATATATATATACACATATACACACACATATATACATACACACTGAACAAAATTCTAAACGCAACACTTTTGTTTTTGCCTCCATTTTTCATGAGCTGAACTTAGGTGTGGCATATCAAGATGCTGATTAGACAGCATGATTATTAGGTGTACCTTAGGCTGGCCACAATAAAAGACCACTCTAAAATGTGCAGTTTTACTGTATTGGGGTGGTCCTGGGGGGGATCCGAGAACCAGTCAGTTTATGGTGTGACTACCATTTGCCTCACGCAGTGCAACACATTTTTCTTTGCATAGAGTTGATCAGTTGTTGATTGTGGCCTGTGGAATGTTGGTTCACTCCTCTTCAATGGCTGTGCAAAGTTGCTGGATATTGGCAGGACCTGAAACATGCGGTCATATACCCCAATCCAGAGCATCCCAAACATGCTCAATGGGTGACATGTCCGGTGAGTATACTGACCATGCAAGAACTGAGATGTTTTCAGCTTCCAGGAACTGTGTACAGATCCTTGCAACATGGGGCTGTGCATTATCATGCTGCAACATGAGGTGATGGTCATGGATGAATGGCACAACAATGGGCCTCAGGATCTCGTCACGGTATCACTGTGCATTCAAAATGCCATCAATAAAATGCACCTGTGTTTGTTGTCCATAACATACGCCTGCCCATACCATAACCCCACTGCTACCATGGACCACTTGGTCCACAACGTTAACATCAGCTAACCACTCACCCACACGACACCATATACGCTGTCTGCCATCTGCCCTGTACAGTGAAAACTGGGATTCATCCGTGAAGAGAACACCTTGCCAAAGTGCCAGACGCCATCGAATGTGATCATTTGCCCACTCAAGTCGATGACAACGAACTGCAGTCAGGTCAAGACCCCGATGAGGACGATGAGCATGCAGATGAGCTTCCTTGAGACGGTTTCTGACAGTTTGTGCAGAAATTCTTTGGTTATGCAAACCGATTGTTGCAGCAGCTGTCCGGGTGGCTGGTCTCAGACGATCTTGGGGGTGAAGATGCTGGATGTGGAGGTCCTGGGCTGGTGTGGTTACACGTGGTCTGCGGTTGTGAGGCCGGTTGGTTGTACTGCCAAATTCTCTAAAACGCCTTTGGAGATGGCTTATGAACATTCAATTCACGGGCAACAGCTCTGGTGGACATTCCTGCAATCAGCATGCCAATTGCACGCTCCCTCAAAACTTGCAACATCTTTGGCATTATGCTGTGTGATAAAACTGCACATTTTAGAGTGGCCTTTTATTGTAATAATCATGCTGTCTAATCAGCATCTTGATATGCCACACCTGTAAGGTGGATGGATTATCTCGGCAAAGGAGAAGTGCTCACTAACACAGATTTAGACACATTTGTGAACAATATTTGAGAGAAATAGGCACTTTGTGTACATAGAAAAAGTCTTAGATCTTTGAGTCCAGCTCATGAAAAATGGGGGCAAAAACAAACAAAAAAGTGTTGCGTTTATAATTTTGTTCAATGTGTATGTATATATATATATATATTTATAGTTATATATTTTTCTATTTATAGGCCTCCAGGTTTTTCATTACCCATGGGTTTTCTATGAGTCTTTAATTTATTGACAACCTTCATGGTTGCTAGTGATGTCGCGAACCCGAAATTTTCGGTTCGCGAACGGCGAACGCGAACTTCCGCAAATGTTCGCGAACCGGCGAACCGCCCGAAACGCCATTGACTTCAATGGGGAGGCGAATTTTAAAACACACAGGGACTCTTTCTGGCCACAATAGAGATGGAAAAGTTGTTTCAAGGGGACTAACACCTGGACTGTGGCATGCCGGAGGGGGATCCATGGCAAAACTCCCATGGAAAATTACACAGTTGATACAGATGTCTGGTTTTAATCCATAAAGGGCAGAAATCACCTAACATTCCTAAATCACAATCAATATGGATTGACACCTGACATATGACATATTGACACCTTGACATATGGATTGACACCTGTCCTCAGAGCCCCTGATGCACACGGACACAGAGCAGAATAGAGACTGGTCCCCTACATAGGGTCACTTGGCAGATATGGATTGACACCCGTCCTATGATCCCTGATACACACTGACACAGGAGAGAATAGGGAGGGACTGTTCCCCATACATCGGGTCACTTGGCAGATATGGATTGACACCTTGTTACAAACTGCTATTTGTAACGGGCCCTTTAAATGGCAAATTGCCCTGCTTCCCTGGGTTGTGGAGAAGCCTATTTGCCAGCCTCCTCCCGCATGACTATGGCCCTTGGGAGATTGTGAAAATGTATGCACTTTTATTTGGTGTGTATGGCCCTTTAAGACTGTCGGTGGGCATATTGGGGCTTATGGACTCTTTATGTGACTGGTGCTGGCCCTTTTAAACACCTTTTTTGGGACATCAGGAAGATTGGGACACTGCCCCTTTAAGGCCGTGTCCCCAGACTTGTTGGGGACACGGCCCCTTTAAGACGGTGTCCCCTGTGTCCCCAGACTTGGTGCAAACCCTTTGTGCCTGCCTTGCTATTTCCCACTTGGTTCAGTAAATGGGAAATTATTTCAGCTGCAGAGACTAAGTCCCATTCGGCGATGGGACTTAGTCTTTTTTTCAGCCGTTTTTTTCAGCCTTATTTCAGCTGCAGAGACTAAGTCCCATTCGGCGATGGGACTTAGTCTTCTTTTCAGCCTTATTTCAGCTGCAGAGACTAAGTCCCATTCGCGATGGGA